ATCAGTACCGGCAGTTCAACAAGGAGGATTGGGCGAGGGGTCTTCGCACGCATGTCGGCATCAAGGCGCGCATCAATGCGTTCACCTTGGACATGCACCAGCGGCAGCAAGAGATGGTCAAGGAGCGGCCTGAGCTCGGCGAGCCGCGCATCGTCTTCCACAAGCCCTTTTACGAGGCCGAGGTGAGCTGCGAGTCGATCGACCTCAAGACCTTCGCCGCACAGATGCGCGATGACTGCGAGATCCCCTCTGTCTTGGACGAGCAGGAGGTTGGCGAGAGCATCTTCGACGACCTGTTTGCTCAAGATGTGCCCATCCCCGATGACGAGCTGGAGTGGGTTGATATGAACGATCTGGTCGAGCTGGACTCGCAGGCGATCAAGGATCCGTCGCCCAAGATCCGCATGTACCCGGCCATGAAGTGTCCGCAGTTCAACTATTATCGCAAGGTGGATTCGAAGCGTGAGCGGCGCGCAAAGGAGACGCAGGACGGGGCGGCGAACGGCAAGAGGAGTCGCGAGCAGGGATCCGATCTCGAGGAGCTGCTCAGCAAGCTCGAGCGCAGCAAGTTCGGCGGCGAGAAGAGCCACGTCTGCATGGTCGGCCAAAACGACAAGCCGTACGGCGTTCAGCGCAAGATCGCCCAGGACAGGCTCAAGACGATTCGCAGCGAGATCGATCGGGTACTCAACTCGAGCGACGACGGCAGCGCAGAATCAGAGAATCATTCGGAGGGCGTCGAGGATCAGCAGGAAAGGCTCAACGAGCTGCACGGCCGCGAAAGAATCCTCAGTGGCTTCATCGCGCATCTCGGACGATTGCAGGAAGACACAGACCGTATCGAGCGGGCCAAGGCAGAAGGGACTCCGGCGCCGAAGCGATCGGGCACCATCGATCGCAACTTTACGCTCAACGCGACCGATCTTGCGTCTCTCTACCGCGATCTAGGGATGTTTGACAATCGCTACATCGCGCATAATCCGACGCTGTTCTTCAGCAACACGACGCGCACGCTGTTGCTCAAGTATTACTACAGCTCGCGGCTCAGGCGAGGATACGCGCACCACATGACGGCGACGGCGGTGCGGTACATCCGCGATCTGCTCAAGAAGAAGGACAAGGCAGGTCGCCCATCAGCTATGAAGATGAACGACTACCTCGACGCGGGTCGAAGCACGCAGCACTTAACACCAAGCACCGAGGGTGCCAATGGCCTTGATATTCTGCACGAGATGCTCGATGACATGATCAACCACATGCGTGGCAAGGACGGATACAGCAAATCGGGCTGGGGCACCCGAAAAGAGGGAGAAGAGGAAGAAGGCTTGGAGGCAGGCATGCGCCCCACGGACGGCATCTCGGACGATTTCAACGTGGCCAAGAGCAACGTCTGTGTGCTACTCAAGCCGCAGATCGTGCTGCGCAGCGACGTGGACGACAACTCGACCGTGATCGTCTCGGCGCTCCGCACGAGGCTGCAGAACTACACGGTCCAAGATGAAAGCTGTGCGGAAGACTCGGTCAACGCGACCGTGCTTCGAAGGAACTTCTTTGCGCTGGACAGTCTCCAATGCTGGCATCCAAACGCGCGCTCCAATTCGACCTACGTGGTGGAAGCGCGTGCCGAGAGGCATGGCTTTGTTGCTCTGCCTCTCGAGGCGCTCGTCGACATGCATGGCCAGTGCCGCGACTTTGAACGCATTGTCCCGCACACCAACGCCAGCATGTACTACGACAAGTTCAACAAGCTGCGTCTGTCTGATTCGTCGCGCTCCGTCTCGACGTTCCGTAAAGACGGCAAGCCAGTGCAGGACCACCTCCACCACCACATGGACATGATCCTCCTCAATTGTCCGCGCTTCTCGGTGTCCGCCAACAGCGAGCACTTTGCGGCGCTGTACAATGTGGTGACGGACTTGATCTTGTACCGCGACCCAGCGCATCGCGATCACGCCAAGCGGTTGGAGGAGATGATGTTCAGCTACGACTTCACGGATGTCTCTGGGCTGGCAGACATTGTGACAGCACTGCAGGTGCGCATTCGCGAGGCGCAGACGCTCATCGAGCAGTACCGCGCCGTTGCAGATCGACTGAACGAGCGAGGGCGCGCCGATTACGTTGCGGTCCTCCGCGATGCGCTCGAGCTGATCACCGAGCTCAATCTTATCATGGAGGCCATCACCACGTCGCAGGACAGCAAGGGCGGCGCGGACCGCGAGAAGAAATCGGCACTCCGATTCATGACGCAGGCGCAGGAGGTCGCCTGGAACATGATCGGCGACGAGGCGGGTGAGCTCGTGACCAAGCTCGCTCTGCGCGGCATCAGCTTTTCGTGGCTCAACAAGGCAGACAACTCGGCTGCGAACACGCTCGCCATCCAGGACCTGCAAGCGCTCAGCGTCGATCCGAACGCAATGTTTGCCGAGATCATCGCCAAGTATCTGCGCGCCCCGGACCATCCGATGGCCAAGGAAGGGCGCTTCCTCGATGCCATGTGGAGCGTGCTTCCACCGGTGGGAGGCATCTCGATCGTCGACATGTTTGAATTCAACTTGCACCCGGTCAAGATCCAGATCGAGCTGGTGGTGGGCCGCAAGATCATGGACTACGTCTTCGGCACAAAGCGACAGCGAGAGAAGCAGGAGGAGGAGCAGAGACGGCTCGAAGATCAGACGAGGCGGCAGGAGAAGGCGATCGCAAAGAAGAAGTCGCCTCTGGCACGATTGTTGGGGGGCAGGAAGAACCTCACGGGTCCAGCGTCGTCGCAGACGTCGAGAAGGCCAAGCACGAATGCGAGCTCACGAAACGCCTCGACGGTCGACCTCGCATCGCGCAGTGCGTCGAGCACGGATCTGCTGTCGGTCGGCCGGCCCTCGTCCGACGGGTCGCGTGAGGACGATGCAGACAGCGTCTCGGGCCGCGCTCGTGTTGCGACGGGTGGTGCAAGTACGGGGACGGCGAAGGCGTCGCTCAAGTCGCGCCCAGGCACGCCAGCGAGCGCCAAGGATGCAGGTTCTGATGACGAGCGGCGCGGCGACCAGTTTGCCATTGCGCAGCGAAATGCAGCCGAGATGCGCTCGCGTGCCTCGGCGTATCGCACCTTTGTGTACGTCAAGATTTCACAGACCATCTTCTGCTTGTCCTACAAGGGCGAGAAGGAGAAGTCGATCACGGATCTGTACGACCTCGTCTTCCGCACGCCTAACTTCGAGTACCACAACAGCACGTTTGGATATGTTGACCTGGCGGACACATTCAAGAAGGACGTGTTCAAGGCAGCCTGGAACCAAAAGTCGACGTTGCTGCGCGATATCATCACGCACCGGCCGAACCGCAAGCGCAATGCGATCGAGAGCATCCGTGCCATCAGACAGGCGTCCAAGGCGAGGGAGTCGCTTGCGCCGTTGGACATTGCGGTCGAGCCGCCGACGCCGGCGGGGCGGTCGTCGTTTGACGGCAGCAGCCATCTAGTGGAGTCTCCCACGGACACATTTAGCTATCGCGGCGGAGAGGCGTATGGGGATGATGGACAGAGCATCGACAGCCAGGCGCTCGAAGCGGATGGCGATGGCGATGGCAGCCGATCGGAGGAAGGATTGCAGCGGCCGGAGCACGTGCGACAAGGAACCGGTCAGACGCTCGCGGGCCAGATCCGCGACGAGTGGGGCCGCAACAACGAGCTCGAGGCAGCGGCCCATGCCAGCACGCCCTCGTTGGCGTCGAGCGACGAGCGGCGCGACTCGGTCGGCGAAGTCGACGCCATGCTCCACCTCCACACGCCACGGCGCGAAAGCGCCGATCCCGAGCCGGGCCGCCGATTCTCCGGGCTGCGAAGGCTCAGCTTTGGCGGAGACTCGCCTGCGACCGAGCGCGGAGAGGCACTATCGATGGCGTCTGCCGGCTCGTCGCCCTACCTCCAGCTACCTCCAGGAGCCGCATCGAGGCGAGCGAGCCTCGCGAGCAGCAGGTCGCACTCACCGTCGTTCAAGCTGAACAAGCTCCTGCCAAGGTCGTTGAGGAGGAGGGCGTCGACGTCGGCGCCAGGAAGGAACGGAACGAGCCCGGCGGACGAAGAACAGCACATGCAGAGGGCGACGTCGTCCGACTACTCGGCGAGCATTCGCAGCACGCACTAGTCACACACTTGCAATGGATGAACGGAATTTGCAAACTCGCTGAGTGTGCTGTGTCATGAAGTGAGACGAGAGAAAAGCGTGTCGGTGGTGGGAACATTGTTGGTGGGGCTCGATGAACGGTGGCCTAGTCTTGGATTGTGTGCGGTGTTGCGCTCGACTCTGGCCTCCTTTTCAATTGTGTGCTAGGTTGCTCGCTATCATACGTCGTTGCTTGTCCATCAGGATCACGCCGTGGTGACCAATAGACGGCGCCTGGGCACTTGACTCGGCTTGTATTGCTTCGCATCGAATGCATCGCGGATATATGTGGGACGTCAATTGCACACGACGACGTCCAAAGAGCTCGAAAAGACAAGAGATGGGTGGTTGTGTCGAGGAGGTGCTCGTCTAGGTCCTCGTCGCGCTGTTCCGCCGTGCTTTCGTTAGGCACACGAGGCACTCGCGGAACAGACAGCTTCGGCTTCACGCTGCTCAGGCTAAGTCGAGACTTTTTTGTGTATGGGGCGAAGATGACAAGGCGCACCGGACTGTGATCAGCCAAGAGGCGATGGTGATGGTGGTCGTCGCGAAGCAGGGAAGCGGGAACTTTCAATGTGAACGAGTGAATGGGCGACGAGGAGGCCCCACATGTGAACGCGACGCGTGGTGGCAGCCCGACCCACTCTGCACCGCCTGTCTCGTTCGGCCCCTCCCTCTCTTTCTCGTCAAACCGCTCGCTGTTTGTTTCTCCACCTCCGCCTTCGACTCAGACCATCTTGTCCACACGCTTCAGCCTCGAGTGTGACCAAAGAAAAGAGCAAGTTCCGGTACTTGTGCGATGTAGAAATACAGTCTTGTTTGTGTATGGAAGCGGGCCTGCTGCCTCTATGCAGGCTGTGCGCGCAGCGCGTGCTGATTGAGGAGCGTATAGATCTCGGCCTCGACCCTGTTTCTGTGCAGCTCGATATCGTCTGCATCGACCACGTCCCCGATAACCGGCTGGTCATCGGCACTGCTGGCGAGCGGGTAATCGGGGCCGTCCGGGCCGAGATGAAACTCAAACTTGGCCGAGTCCTTGCCCTTTGCAAGCACGTCGAGCAGAGATGCGAGCTGCGCATCGTTGTGGTACACGATCGTGGTGGGTTCCGCCTTCTTCTCCACCTCTTCCTGCGCATCCTGCGGCGCAGGATTGGCAATCTCGAACACCTCCTGCTGCACACTCGTCGGCAGTGGCGGCATCGCATCAAAGCTGAACGACTTCTTGTGCCCGCCCTGCGGCCGCGTGAAGAACGAGCGCGAGTCGTCCGCCGTCAGTCCGGCGGGGGTGCGCCACTCGTTCGCATCTGCCGCCGCATCCAGCGTCGCAAGGTTGGCCGCACTCGCGTCCGAGTTGTGTCGGCTGTGTCGCGGGTCGAGGTCTGAATAGACACTGCCGCGCTCTGCCAGCCCGGCAATCACCTGCCACACCACACTGCCGTCGGCGCGCTCCGTCACCTCGATGTGCCGCCTCGTGGCACCGGGCGCCATGGACCGCCGCGCGAGCTCACGCGTCTCGGAGCCGGGACTGCCAAACTCGATGTCATCGCCAGCGTACATGTCGTACAGGCTGCCCGCATACGAGCTTTCCACCCTGCTTGCGCGCTTGGATCCCTCGGCCGTGCCCGAATCCGGATGCAGCGTTTGCCGCGAGCTCAGCGTCGACATGGCCTCCTCCACCCCACCCGCCGGCATCGCGGTGGTGTCTGCAGCAGTGCTCGTATCGCCCGCGCCCGCAGAGGGGAGCGGCTCGTCCTCCGCAGCGAACCGGCGCGATTTGCGGCTCGAGCCGAACATCGATCGCCGGTAGTCGCCCAGCTCGAGCCCGGCGGGGACGATGATCGTGCGTCGCACAATCGTGTCGCGCAGCGACTTGCGGGCGTTGGCAACCGACCGTTCGCCATCCTCGGCAGGCGCAGAGGCGGCAGCAGCAGCAGCAGCAGCAGGTAGGGTGGTGTCACCATCCTCGGCCTCGACCGCTTCGCCGTTCCACGACGACGGCGGCCGAGGCGTGCGCATCTCGTCTCCCGCCACCTCCGCCGCAAGCCCAGCGGGTGCATCCTCGGCGGCAGCTGCGACGTGCTCCTCGTTCGTGGCTGCGGCCTCTTGCGCCTCCGCCTCTTGCCCTCCTGGTGACGCCTCCTGCGGTGCGGTCTGGGCGGCATTCGCCTCGCCGACCTCCATCGGCAGCGAGATGGGCGGAGCCGGCTGGGGCATCGCTGCCAGGTCCCTAGCACGCTGCTCCGGCGATCGTCCGATGATTGCCGTCGGCATGTAGGCGGCATCGCCGGGAAGAACGACCTCGGACTCGCGCTTGAGCACGATGGGCGTGCGCTTCTTGGATTTGCTGCGCGGCATCGAGGTCGAATCGATGGGCAGCGTGTACACGGGCGACGTGGGCGAGCGCAAGCTGCTCCCGCGGTCGCTCGACACCGACTTGGGCGACGATACCGACGACAGCGTCCAGGGCGTGGTCCTCTCCAGCGGCAGCGGTGGCAGCACCGGTGTAGGAGCCTGCAGTTGCTGCGGAGGCTGTGGCGCAGTCTCGGCCGCACGTGCTGCGTTCAGCTGTGGCGGGAACGGCTCGATTGTCGCACCGCCAAATGCCTGGTCGCCATTCTTGCGGCTCTTGATCTTGGAAAACAGCCGCGAGAGGCTGCCTCCATTGGCGCCTCCGTGCATGTACGGATGATTGGGGTGCACACTGGCACGCTCGCCGTTGATCTGCTCGGCTGCAGCGCCATCTGCTCCTCCCTTGATGCCGAAGCTGTCCGACGGGCTGGCTTCGTGACCGAACGAGCTCGATCTCCTGCGATGGAAGTAGCCGCTGCCCTTGCTCACGCTACCGCCCTGCGATGCCGACGAAGGGCTCGCCTTGGGATGACCGCGCGAGCCGTCGAGGGCGCCCTGACCCAGGCTGCCCCAGCCAGGCGACCGATTGCTGCGCTTGCTCGTCTTCGACAAAGCAGCGGGAGTCTCGGGCGGAAGCGCGATCTGGTTGGCATGATCGAGCCTCTGCGTGGTCGAGATGAGCTGCGGCGACGAGATCTGCTTGCTCACCTTCTTGAACGACTTCTTGCGCGAGATGCTCTTGGTGCGGAACGGCGGCGTTGGCATGGAGCCGTCGTCCGTGCCCTTGAGCGCGCGTGTCGCCGCGCTGGTCTGTGCAGCCACGTCATCCAAGAGCCGCGTGGGATCCGAGCCCATCAGCTGCGGCATGGCATGGTCGGTGCCGAACGAAGTATCCGGGCTCGAGTCCTGCTGCGGACCGTAGCGGTTCCATACGTCTTCGGGTGGGAACTGCTTTGCCTGGCTGCGGGGCGAGGCACCGATGTCCTCCGTCACGGTCTTGCGCGGAAACGTGAAGTTTTGCACTCCACGCGAGTCAGCCGCAGGAAGCATGGGGCTTGTGTATCCGGCATTGAACGGATGCTGCTGTACGGGCGGGCTCGGAAGCACCGCCTGTGAGTCCTGATCCGAGCCCGCAGGCTCTTCGGCAACAGACGGCGACGTGAACATGGACTGCTGGTGCAGCCGAGACGCCTGGTCGACGGCATGCGAGAGCGAAAACGACTCGCGGTTGCGAGGCCCAACCGAGCCATTGAGCTCGAGCAGGCTCGGCAAGCCGTTGAGCGAGCCGTTGCGGCTGTGCAGAGGCGGCGATGTCGGTCGGTGGCTGGTGGTGACGTCGTACATGACCGCGCGCGGAGAGACGGGGGGATCGTGCGAAAACGAGCTCGAAGGCTGGCGTGCGAGCGGAGCGCCCGGGCTGGCAACGGTCGGCCTTCCGCTGGAAGGCCCAAATGCGAGGCCATTGCCTGCTCGCTGCTCTCTGCTAGATGGGTTGCTCCATTCAGAACCCGTACCGATGACCAAGTTCGGCGACGCGAGTCCTTTGGACTTTGCCTCTGCAAATCTGCGCTCCTTGAGATTGTCGTCCGCCTGAAGACGAGGAAGAGGAGGCACGGTCTCGTTCTCATCCGCCGACTGGATGAGATGGTCCTGGAAGCGAGCGATCTGATCGACCGTGATGCCGGTGCCCGCCAACCGCTCGTCGGCTGTGCCGGCCGGAAGACTGGAAACTGGACGATCAGCGCCGGTCGGATCGGAGCCAGAGGCCATCTTGGCCCACAGGTCCTCCTCCTCGTTGGGGTCTGCCGATACGTCCTCACTGGACGCACGAAGGCTGGCAGCATCGGTCGCCTTGATACCGTACATTGCTCGCCAACGCTCTGCCTGCTCTGGCTCTGACGGCGGGTTAGGCATGAGGCCTTGCTCGTTGAAGTGGGTTTGAGCTGCGCTTGGCTGGGTCGGCTGGGAGGCAATAGCGCCCGGCACGGGTGCTGGCCTTGGGGCAGCAAAGCCTTCATCGGTTGAGGAGATCCGCGAGGTTTGCGTATGGCGATTCTGCTTGGAGCTGCTCAGCGATGTGTTGCGCTGGTGGAGACTGAAGCTCGTGCTTCCCGTCTCCGGGGAGCTAGGAACTGCAGCGCGATCGCTGCCAGAACCGAATGCCCCCATACTCGGCACCTGAGGCGACGCGGCGCTCTGACTTGTAGATGCTGAGTTGCGCATGCTCTGAACGCTCCTGAGCGCATTCGACGCGTCCGTGACCGAGTTGGTCGCCGGCTGGGGGCTGTGATTGGCCTGACCCGCCATGGCTTGCAGTGCAGCCGCCGCGGCGGGCGACACCGCTGAAGGGGGCTTGAATCCAGAGGCGTAGTCGTGCATGGGAGCGCTCGAAGCAGGCGGGGGAAAGTAGTTGGGAGAGCGTGCGCTTCGGCTGAGCATGGGAGGGGGACTCATGGCTCCAGAAGAGCGACGCGAAGCGTGCGTGCCCAGCAGGCTACCCTCGGACGAGCCCGTAGCGGATCGCACGTGCTGTCTGTAGTTGCGTCGAACGCTTGAGAGCGAAGGCTGTTCGCGCAAGCTGGGATGGGGAGCCACGCTTCTTGCAAGCGCCAGCTTGTCGACCGACGATTTACGGCTGTGCGAGGAACTGTAGTTGGAAGCTGGTGGCCCAGCCAGGCTCGACCTTCCGGAGTTTGCACTGACGACCGAGTCGCCTCGCGAGAGCGTCGAGTATGCTGGACTGCCGGCAAACATGTTGGCATTGCTCATTTCCGGCGTGCGGAAGGAGCGACGCGTGTTGTCGGCACCTTCAGTCGGATGAGCTTGTCCACTCAATGAAGAGCGATTTGCTTCCGATGTCGGTCGAACGACAGGCTCTTCTGTCGACACGGACACGTTTGCGTCCGGTGATGGATCGGCCACACCTGGCCGGTGAGCGTCGATGGTGGAGGCTGATGAGACGATGCGCGACGCCTGGGAAGGCACCTCGGTTGCCGTCGCAGTCGAGTTGCGCAGCGATAGATACGTAAGCGCTGGACTGACCTGCAGATGGTCGGCGCCGTCAGCACCGTTGGGAGGTGCCAAGGACTGTGTAGTTGGCTCTGCACCCTTAGCAGCGTCAGTCACGGTGAGCGCCGAGTCGGACGCGACAAGAGCGGGAAGCTGAGTTGCGGTTTGCGACTCGGGCAGGTCGGGCAAAAAGTCGGCGTGACCTCCGGGAAGCGCACCTGGCATGGTATCAGGGACGGGTGATGATGACAGCGTGAGATCACGGATGGGAGAGGACATGGCGAGACCGCCCTGTTCAATGTGCACAGCATCGAGCGTGGGTCCGGGAGCAGTGATGGTGGTGTCTGCGGCATCTTCGTCTTCGGATGCTGTGTCCGCAGATGCGGCACCGGACGGCGCGAGTCTGTTGTCGGCAGCGCGGACGTTGGAGAGTGCAGAAGTGAAGGAGTTGGCGTCGCTGTCAACGGAAGATCGCTGCGCCTGGTGACTGGATAATGTGACGTTGGTCCTAGCAGGCGAAGAACCGTTTTGAGAGGCGATTTGGGCGAACACCTCGTCTAGCGCGGTGCTGACGCGCTTGAATGCCTCGGGAGAAAGCGTGGTGAGCAGGTTGGAGTCTTGCGTGGACGACGAGCGCGAGGCCGATGCGGGGCCCGGGACTTGGAGCAAGGACGTCGAGCTGGGACTATCGCATGCAGTGGATGCAGAGGCAGCCGATGCATCCGTACTTGTGGGCTGCGAAGCCGCCTCGTCGACTGCAACGACTGGAGTATGCGCTTGTTTTGAGGCAGTTGTGCCGTCGGACTTGGAGTTGCTGCGCTTCCTCTGTGCATTGCGAAAGTGTGCGTGGTCGCGGTCGGAGCTTCTACCGGTGAAGGAACTGCCACCGGGTTTTCTGAAAGGGGACCAGGCGGGGGAAGCGGTGCTGGCGGAGGCGGTGGTAGCACGATCGTAGCTGTTGGACAGGTCGCCGAGGGATTCCGTCAAGCTGGAGAGCTGAGGGGCTGTGTTGGGGAGCGAGGTGCCCCAGGAGCCAAAGCCGTCGGTACCTGCAGCATAGCCGTTGCGCCAGGAATCCACGGTGGCGGAGGCGACGGCCTGCTCGAGATCAAAGTCGCGCCCCTCTGCACGCGCCTGTGCCTTTAACTGTTCGATAATGGCATTCTCCTCGTCTTCGGTGAGGAAGTGGATGTCGTTGGCGATGCCCGAGCCGATGGCGAGGTTGGCGGCGCGCGCACGAGCGCGTTGAGCACGCAGATGAGCGCGCATGGCGTCGGGCGTGACGAGCGATCCATCCGGCGCTCTGAGCAGCGTGAATCTACGCGTGAGGTGGGGCATGATGAGCGACTGACGAAAGTCGGAGGTGGGTGGGAGGACATGGTCGAGGCTTGGCTGCTGTGCGAGTTGCGGCGACTGCAGTTGTCCGACCTGCATGCCGCGTTGCTGACGTGGACTGTGCGGCGAGCGTGGAGAGCCGGGTGCGGCGGATGCAGCGGCAATAAAGAGGCCGGGTCGTGGAGGAAGTTTCGATGAGGACGGAAAGGCGCCGTAGTCGGTTGGTCCGCCTTGATTCGAGGCGGCGGCGGCAGCGACGGCCTTGCGTTGCTGACGCTTCTTGAACGGATTGATCATGGTGGATGGCAGCTCTCAACGCACGGCCGAGGATTGGCCGATGCAGACGCGGAAGAGCCGAAAGGCGCCGGTCGAAGCTGGGCGAGACGGAGCAGAAAAGTGTGACGGAGGCGCTAGCGCAATCTCTTCTGCATGTGTGCTGGCGATGCGGACCGAAGAGCGCGATAGAGGGTGCAGTGCAGACCGGATGGTGGTGTGGGAAAGAGGCCTTCGAAGAACGGAAGTGCCGATGGAGTCTCGGCTGTCGAGACGCTGGTGCGAGCTGCGGATGGAAAGTTGGTGAATTGTGGGTGAGCCGAAGCCGCCTTGCTGCCTCTGCACTCATGCACTGCCTCGCTAGCGCCTAAAAGAGTGTGAGTTGCCGGTTCCAGCAGTCGCGCTCTTTTTTTTTGACTGCTGGGCGTCCCTTTTTTGGGCGCGTGGCAGGCACCACCTGCATCGACCCGCCTGGCAATGCAGCCACAGCCCACGGGGCAACCGTTGCTGTGCACTCTCCATCAATCGTGGAGTCACTTGGCATGCAAGCCTAACATCTTGTATAGCATCAAAGAAACGTCGTCGAAATGCAGAGCCATGAACCTTGTATGAGCCTCGCTTCGGTGAGCCCCAGCGCCCTTGGTCTCTGGCGGATGTTTCGGCGCCTTCGCTTCCTCGGCGAGAAGCTGCATCCGAAGAAAAACGGACGAAAATCAGGCAACAAAAATGGACAACCAAAAATCGGTCCCCAATTCATGCCGCCAGAGGAGGCTGCCCTCTGCGCCTCATGTCTTGACGCATGCTCACCTCGAGCAACCCACCTCATATCTGGTTTCATCTGCTCTCGACAATGACAAATCCCACGTCTTGGGCAACAGCACCGCGATATCCAGATGAGGTACCCACCAGCTGGAGGCAACTCTGTGGGGGCAACCAAGCAACGCCTCGATACCTGCCTTCCCGCGGCATGTGTGAAGGCTTTCAACGCAGCCAAGCTGGATTCCCAGAGACCCTTTTTTTAATTCCGCTACTTCGCCGAGCCACCCAGCCGCGCGCGGACTCCAGTACAGGACGGCCCGATCGTGTTCCCATCGGGAATCTAATTTTGAGAGAGAACAATGATCGTCCCCGATGACATGCAGGCAGATGCACGCGCCGGCGCAGCCGCCCAACTCGACAGCCGCACACCGAATTCGAACGGCTCGCGTCACGGACGGGGTGACATGGCGCTGGTGTTGGTCGAAGCGTGGTTTACACGATCCACCGTCGGCTCATGCATCGTCCGCCATTCTGCCCGGCACATTCGCTTGGCAGAAGCGGGCCTGTCCGATGGCTCTGTGTCTCTCCTGCCGCTCTCATCCGAGACACTGGGACAATGTCCGTGTGTATCACTCCGATGATCGTCGCTCGCCGCCGCTTCGTCGAGGTGCGTCCGTGTAGAATCTGCTTCGCCAGTCGCTCGGCTCGATGGCTCTTTGCACAATCCTGCACAGCAAGCACGCTGAGCACTCGATAAGCTCGCAAGGTATCGGACGGGCACACTCGTGGATGTGAGGCAGTCTCAGTCGCCGCCCGTGTCTCAGGGACTTGACTTTTCCGACTGAAACACCGCCACGCACCAGCTAGCCGGTTGTACAACGCCCTGCAAGGATCAACACCATGCAGTCTATAGCTGAATCGTCCACATTTCTGACGTAGTCAGACTTTTCATAGACGTCTGTGCATTGGCGTCATGGTAAAGGGGCAATGCGGTTCGCTAGAATCCATCCTGCTCCCTGCGGGCCTGCTGACGAAGAGGTGCGGCACAAGAAAGCGTGGTCTGCAGTCTGCCGATTGGTTCAATGCTGATTACCGGCTAAAACGAAGCTGCATAAGTGCATGCTCGTTATGGACAAAGCACGACCGGTGGGTTTGCTCCGTTGCCGGGCCATGCACCTTGCACCGGACGCCATGTGCGCGATCTGGTATGTGCATCTCACTGCGCCGCTCAGTTCCGGTTGAGCAACACTTCTACTCTTGGCGAGACGCTGTATCGTGCCCTCAGCCTACCATCCCAGTCGCCCTTCCACCGACGGAGCCTTCCGGCGCCTCTCTGGTGTCTGCTAGCTTGGGCCCGGACGCCACCGCGCTGCCCCGGGCCGGATGAGGTGGATGTGCTTATAATGCGCCCCCCTCCGTCCTCCCCTTCCCCCTTCCCTCTTTCTTTTCCCAGATCCGTCTCAGTCTCTTTGCTTGCCCTTGCCTTTGCGTTCGCTCCTTCCGCTCCTCTTTCCTTTCAGATCCAACTTCGTACTATCCTTTCCCAACCGTGAACCCTGGTGGTCACATCCCTTTCCGCTCTCTACCGCAGACAAACACTTTCCTTTCTTTCCTTTCCGTCCTCCTCCTCCGTGTTCAACTGCAAACTCTCTTCCAACCGCTCTCGTCAAATCCGGCTTTATCCTCAGTTCATTTGCGAAAAGACTTCCTGTGGAAGACTTGATCCTATCGAACCAGCGAGCTTTGTCCTTTTCTAGCTAGTCTAGTAGTTCAAGCTTTACTCTCCAAGCCCTTATTTCATCGTTCAGCGCTCCTTCCTCTACGAACCACCCTCTCCAGGCTACCAACTCGTTTTAGATCCAAGCAGCCATGTACTTCACTCAGGCTCTTACCGTCGCGCTTTCCCTTTCGGCTGCTGCCGTCAAGGCTGCCCCCGTTCCCGGCAGTCAGAAGGACACCTCGAACCTCGTTCTTCGCTCGGTCCACGAGAGCCAGATCGCCGTCCGGAGCGTAGGCATCAGCGATGCTGTCAGCTCCAGGCCGCTTCAGGCTCGCGGTCTCGACCCCGTCACCCACTTGCGCAGGGCCATCGACCTTCGCTTCGGCAACGTCGATCCCAAGGCGCGCGACCTCGCCATGGTCACCGAGCTTCACCGCCGAGGCCTGCTCGACCAGCTCATCGCAGCTCTGCGCGACCTGATCATCACCCTTCTTGGCAAGGGAGGTGGAATGACGCGCCGACAGGCGAGCACCGAACAGCTCGAGCAGGCCATCCACCAGGTCACCTGCATCCTCGATGCTCTCTTTGGCAACACCGACAGCGACGGCACGTGTGCCGACGTGCTCGGCGGTGCGGCCAACTCGACCAACGCCACTGGTATTGCTGCCAACCGAACTGTCTCGCCTCTCGAGAAGAAGCTCTCCGCTCTCGGCGCTCAGCTCCGCAACGGAACGAGCATCACCGAAATGGTGGACGACTACATGGCCGGCAAGCAGGGCAGCGCCTCCACCGCTGCTCAGGCTTCCAAGGCTGTGCCCGCTGCCGCTAAGGCCACCGGCACCAAGAAGGCCGACAAGAAGGACAAGCCCAAGCACCACTCTGCCAAGAACGCCACCTCGACCGACACGACTGCTCCCGCAGCAAAGCAGCAGCAAAAGCGCTCCACCGAACTCCTCGAAGCCCGACAGGACTCGGGCCTCACTGGTCTTCTGGTGGCTCTGCGTGATGTTGTGGACACAATCCTCAACACGCTGCTGCCCATGTCTTCGCGCGCCGAGAGCGACAACTCGACCTCTACGTCGTCCTCCTCGGGCAAGTGGCCTCCTCAGGACTGCCCTCCGCCCACGCCCAACGATGGCATGTACCGTCCCGGCTGCCCCGGGTACGGTCGACGTGACATCGCCGTGCGCAGGAGCATGGACCAGCTCGGCGAACGCGACGCCAACATCTTGCAGAGCATCATGCCGATGATCCAGATGCTCCTCGAGCAGCTGCCCGCCCTCATCAAGTCGATGGCCTCCGACCCCAACGCCACATCGACCGTCACCTCTGTGACGAACGCCGGCACCACGACCACTGGCCCCACCGCAGCCGCCGATGATGCCTTCTCGCAGATCATGTCCGCGCTCGGCTATGGTGGCGAGGCGGCCAGCCCCAGCCCTTCCTCCGGCTCCAAGACCGGCTCTGCTGCCAAGGCGCAGGCGACCGGTGCTGCTGCCGGGTCCAACGGAACCAGCTCGGCTGCTCGTAGCGCGGCCAACCTCAGCCAGAACTTTGCCCGCGATCTGCTCGATGGCGATGGCATGAACCTTGGCAAGCGCCAGACAGGCACCGGAGGTGTCACAGATGGTGTCACCGACGCCATCGGCAGCGACAACTGCGACGCCAGCGGCAACTCTGGCGGCATCAATGTCAGCCTGCTCAATAACCTGCTCAATGGTCTGCTGAGCGGCCTGGGCCGACGCAGCGAAGACTCGATCCCGCTCGAGTTCTTCAAGCGCCAGGCCACCACCGACGACGGTGACAATGTCATCGGCAGTGGCAACTGCAGCGCCAGCAACAACACTGGCGGTGTCAACCTCAGTCTTCTCGACAACCTGCTTAACGGCCTCCTTTCGGGCATCGGCCGCCGTGACGTCCCCACCGAGGGCATGGTCTCGGTCGAAGCTCTGAAGCGAGATGCGGCCGAGCCGCTCGCTGAGCGCGCCGACTTTGCGCCCGTGTGGACCGAGATCAAGAAGATCGGTAACGAGCACTTCCACGTTGCTCGCGATCTCTCGCACACCGACGAAACCGCCACTGCCGCCAAGCGCGATGCCAACGCCGACAATGCGCCCGACTTTACTCCTGTCTGGGAAGCCTTCCGCGACCTTGTGGACAGCGGCTACTCTCAGGCGGCTGAGGGTTCGTCTGCCCAACGTCGCGACGCCGGCGCTCCGCTCAAGCTCGACTACAAGCCTCTGATGAAGGCCGGCATCAAGTTCGGCAAGCAGGTGTTCAAGTCGTTCACCTCGCAGCACGCCAAGCGCTCCACCGACTTCAAGCCCTTCGTTGATGCGGCTAGCAGCTTTGCTGCCACCGCGATCAAGGAGATGTGGAAGTCGTCGTAAACACGATCCAACTTCAGGTTGTAGCCAACCTTCTCCCCCCCCCCC